TTGAGCACATGTTTGGTCAAAGGATCGGCTTCACTTGTCCCTTTGATGAGTTGTAGTGTGGTGCTAAGAATGGCGATACTCACTGGTGATGCCGGCAAACGTTTGGAAATGCACCACATCCACAGTCCCACTTTAGAAATGATCATGCAAACAATGGACCCGGACCAGGTGAGTTCCTCTAAGTCTTCCTACCAACATGACCATGTTGCGAAAACAAGGTCAAACAACTTCTATCCAACGAAAAGAAACTGTGACCACACAAAAGGCCACATCATCTTGGTCTTCATGTCTTCAAATTATAATTTCCTACAAATATCTCTATCCGTCGCATTACCTGCTTAATTGATCAAAATATCAAAAAATGATAATTGTTTTTTTTCAAATTCCACTGTTAAAGTAACATTGCATTCAAGTTCAACTAATCGAGAATAGAAATTATCCTTTTAATGCTGCTAAGTAGCAACTTAATTAGACGAACCTTTTCCTTTAAGCGTATTTTAACATTTTTAAATTAATTATCAGTTAAAATGGCAAGTCAATTTATCGGCTCACAAAACCTACTCGCATAGGTGAAGAGGCTGCTACTCATTTATAAACTAAGACTTCGCTAACGGCCTCCATATTTACTGGGCGTTTGTCGAAAGTTCTACTACTTTTATAAAGTGGAATTTCAATATAAATTCAATCCAAATCAAAACTTTTTGGTACGCCTTCCTCTCTAACTGGTTAATGTTCTGCAATTTGCAAAAGATGATAGAAATTTTTGACTGAATATTTCTAATAGTCAGCTACTTTCCTCAAATAATTGCATGGGAATGAAGAAAGCTTGCTTATCAGACTTCTCTAACTATTCGCTATTCACGAGCCTAGTATGCAACTTCGGGTGGCTATAAGCAGTGAGGTCTATAGCACCTTTAAATAAATTTATTTATTTTGTACGTTTCCATTTTCCCGGAAATTTTAGCATCTTCAGAACATCCCTATGGAATCCTACACTAGATGTTTATATACATTCATACCTTCTCATCAGAGCTCAGTCCTTCCGTTATAACCTGAGCTTTACTTTTAGCTAAGTTCAAAATATTTCTTACTTTTGTACAAAATGCCACAAATCCTGCTCAGAGCACAACTTGGTCATTCCCACCTTCCACGCCGGAATGAGAAAACACCCACAGCTCCACACTAAACGTAACCCCTTGAGGGAACACATCTGCTAAGCAAATTAATTCCATCAGCATGAAAAAGCAATTCAGGCCCCAACCCAATAGAGGCTCCACAGTATTCAATACTATATATAAATCCGACTATTTATTGCTTTAACTTCATTCCGTTAGTAAATTGCACTTTTTCCTTAATTCCCTCGAATTACCCGATCCTAATTAGTGCTAGAGCCAAATCCTTCCAGCTATTCCACTGCATCCGGCCAGTGGGAATAGTTCTACGTTTCTAGACCTAAGAAACTCTTAATTTTGCATAGGAAAATTGAGTAAAAGACAATTTAACAAGGCCACATCCAACGATTAAGTGAAAACCTGAGTTGCTGTATAGTTCTTCAACTTTCAGCAAATTAAGCAACATATCTAATCTATTTTAATTGCGTCTATTAGTGAAAAATCATTTTTCAAGTACAATAAAACCTAGTTTTTAGAAATGGTAAACAAGAGATATCACTGTCTCACCTGAGCATACCACATTGTTGAGTCTGAGTCAAGCGACTTTACCATATGCATAAGTTGAACGTCCGATCGAATGTGGCATTCATTCATTGGCTCCATTTCATAAATTCCACCCTCTTCTGTACATTCGGCGGTGTCGATGGTTTCAAAGTCCCAGGTCTGGCAATGACAAAGGTTAGGATAATCGTGTTAGATATGCAATTTGAATAAATACATTTAGCCAGACAAAAATGTACTAGCATCAGCATCAGCATCAGCAGCAGTAGCAGTAGCAGTGGCAGTGCAAACATCTGATACATTTTTAAACTATTTCTACGCATCATCAGGTGCTTGGTTGAAATAATTTGTGTTGTATGAAAAATGATATTAAATGGTTGTGAATCCCCATTGCGTAAGAAAAGCAATAAATGTGTTTACGGCTTTGAAGCTAAATTGTTTCAGATTTAATCTCACTTACTGTTGCTGCATGCAGAACAATCTTGTCCTGAGCACAAACAAAGCATGTCATGCTAGGTGAGTGTTCAAAGGCGATTAAATAAAGTAGGCTTTCCGTCTACTGGTGACCTAGTGAGTAGTATTCTCTCATCATGCAGGTTACGGTGGGCAAAGAAAGTAAATTAAACCAATTTATCGAATTTTCGATTTTAATAGGCCCTTCCGTTTTTAAATACGTATTGACCTTTTTGGTATGAATAGGGTTCGGAATATTTAGTGTGCGTTGAATAAATATTTAGTCAGCCTTTGTTGCCTCAGGTGACTTGAGGAGTGATGGTCGAGCTGTCCAAAAACGAGACAAGTAGGCTCCTGATGCCAGTGAACTTCACCCAACCTTGCCTTCCGAATGGCTATCTTATACCGACTCGACCTCGACCGATATCGTCCCCAACAGGATTCGAACTCGAGCCGTGAGTATTGCAGCAGAACAAGATACTAGTTCACCATAGAATCATGGGAATCTGTGGAGCAAAGGGCAAACAATTAATTCATAGAAATACAGGCCTCTTTAAAATTGAATTTATGATTGGATTGTATAATAATCAAACATCTATTTGCCATTCCAATTGATGACGCTACTCACATTCGAATTAAGTAGTTATTCAGACTATCAAAATTTGTTGAATTATGAATGGAGTTATCGAATTCTCCTGGGGTCGTTGATGAGACGGTGAGGAGAGGTATAAATTACAATTCAGTCTGACTGGAATGAAACAGCTTTTCGGGAGGCCCAATGATCACATTTTGGAAAACCATGAAGAAAAATGATCGTAACTTACTAAATTCTTATTCAAGAATTTTTCATAGTTTCGATAGCTTCAGGTTAATGCTGACATACTGTCCATTTCGTTTGGCAAGCCAGGTGAAAGCAATTCGTAAATTGGTCATCTCAAGTACCAAAAAGGATGGTCTTGGAGTTGTGACTTTTGGATTGTGCGACCACGATGAAGCCGTGCTGGACATCTTCGAAGCCATAAACTATTATTTACGAACAGTTGCCAAAAAACACTAAACCAAGAAATTTGAACAAATGAAATCCTTCCTACTTCTTATACCCACCGTTGCTGTCTTGAAGAAACAGACTATGATTAGATTAGATACTTCATGTCTACCCCAAATACATGAAGACGAAGGAAGCTGATGCATGAAATGGGAGTGGATAGGACCATAACTTTTCTTGGTGTAAATAAACTAATATATGGTTCTTTGATGAGTTCGTAGCTTGGTGCGGCGAATGGCAAAACTCACTGATGATGCCGACTTTTTTGCCGGCGAAACGTTTTAGAATGTATCAAGTCCACTGTCAGATGCTAGGAATCCAGACAACTACTATAGCAGACGACTTCGGACTAGGTGCGTTCTACATAGTCTCCCTGACCACAAGACCAAGTTGCGACAACGAGGTTCCACTTCAATATGACAAATTTCACACAGCAAAGCCAACATCTTATGATATATAAATTAAAAGGCGACATTTTTGTGGAGTAGGATGAAATGTTACGATAAGCTAGAGATGGTTTTGACGCTTGATTAACCTGGAACATTAGTTTAGTTTTCAACTTCTAATTGGCTATTATAACTTCATTTAATATCAAAAAAAGACAATTTACCTATAAATGTACTAATACTAAAAAGCTAACTTACGTCAAAAACTTTAAGTTATTTTAAAGAATTTACGGAAAATGAAAATAGTAGCTTCAAATTTACGATTCAGAATGGTTATATTTGGGCAATTGTGTAAATGAAGATATTCACGTAGTCAGCAAAACTGGGATAACTGTCATATTTATTCATTTAAGAGCTTATTTTTTATAGAGCTTATATGTTTAAGCCAATAAAATTCATCCCTATAGCATGAAAATATTTGTGCATCACCACAAGGTTCATTTAAGATCAGCCCCCAGTATAAGAACACCTGGACTTTTCCCAATTTGATATTAAGCACAATCTAGTTTATGCATAGGCTCATAATTTTCAGAATATGGTTTATTACGCACTAAAGTTTCTGAGAACTTATTATAAGTTGGGCTAAAGTAAACTGTAATTATCAAAAGGAATTTTACTAATCTCACTTTTGATCGAATTTTCTTCTATCATATATGAGCCAAGTTTGCAAACTCGCTTTGGCAAAAAAGCTCTTATTCTTCCACATTGTTGTCAATTTGTCAAGACTTGACTCATCTCAAGCTACCGACTTATTGGACTTCTCACCCTTTTCCCAAGTCAACAAAACCCTTGATGATGCTCTTCTCATGGCTTCATCATAATCGAAATCTCCTGTGATTAGGATTAGATGAAATGACAATACAGAACGACCAAATATTGTTACATTTCGGCACAGTATTTCCGTCTACCAACACAGAAAGTGTGCATAGAGTGCGGTTGATGCATGCATCGAAAAAGGTTAACAAACAGCCAAAATGGTACATGAACAATAGAGCCCCTTCCTACCCGGATCCAGCCGTCTCGCCCAATCGTCATCAGCTCACCCTCATCCATGATGATTTGCATGATCTCGCGTTGGTGACAGGGTCGGTGACCCTTGCGTGCGATTTGCACCTTGATTAAGTCACCCTCCCAGACCAGCATATTGCCCCACTCACAGCCAGACAACACCTTCCCATCGGGCAGGATGACGAAGCCTTCGATATCGGACAACTCGATTTTGCCAAACTTGCCAAGATTGCCTTGCAACTTGAGGCCTGTGAAAGTGTCTGCCATTCTCCAAAAGCGTATGTGACCAATTCCGGCACTGGTTAGTACACCGGGCAGCTCACTAGACCAAGCGACGCGAAAGATGTCTTGCGAAAAGGCTTTGGCTCTTAGAATAATCTGCTCTGATCGCCAATTCCAAATGCTCATCAAGTAGTCGGGCTCAGAGCCGACAGAAGCGAGCAATTCACCGTCAGGGCTGTTCAATATAAAATTTAAAGGATAATTATAGACGGAGAAATTAACCAACGGTTAGAAAGATAAGAGAAGTACAGATGCATTCTACATAAAATTTTTCATTGGAAAACCTCCAGGCAAAATAATATATGAGATATTAGATCTCTGAGAATTTGAACTAAATCTCATAATACTACTTATAGGTAGTACTAAATAATTGTAGTAATATAAACTGGGAGCAAGGACACAAATACCTCTCTCATCGAAAAGTATTAATGTGAAATAAGTCTCAATAATACAAATGTTTTGAGTGTGAAGATAAAAACCACACCCAAAATGATTCCAAATATTTTTACTCACCTAAAGCCAGTTAAACTTTAGTTAATTGTCGGTTGAAAATAGGGGCTAAAATCGCATAATCAAGTCTTTATAATTGTCACTCATTGAAATTATTCACTTTTTAACCTGAAAACAATTAGGAGAATTAATGTTAGAGTACTTTCCATTTCGTTTGAAGAGGCGAGTGGAGGGGATTTGTAATTTGGTCTCATCTGAAGCGGTATGGAGAACGTCTTGGAGCTGTGGGCGTATATTTGTTTGATGATGAGACCAACTTACGACTCCCTTCCACTCGTAATTAAAAACAAAATTAAAGCTAGAAATGGATTGACCTCGCTGGCGCAACTTGTTCTTGGTGTCAGGGAGACTTAGTAGAACGCACCTAGTCCAAATTCGTCTACC